GGACTATTGTAATAGGTAAATCAAATGTAAGCTGGTTCAGTACTAATTACTAAACTCAGATGAGTTAATGTGTGCTTCTTATAGCAGTTTAGAAGTCATTTTCTTTATTATTTATTTTCATCCCAGCATACGTTGCCATGGTGACTGAAGTTGATCTATGTTAAATTTGCTTTATGGAACCAAATCATTTGACAAAGAGTCAGACTAACTGAAATAAGCCTGGCTTATTTGGTTAACTTGTTTTATGAAACAGGCCTCGAGGTATTAAAAGTGATCATTTTCTTCATTGCATCGTATTGTCTCGAATTGCATTGTGTTGAATTGAATCGGAATCGGATCACACTGCATCGTAATAGAGGTGAATCGTATCGTATCGCATCGGTAGCTGCTTCATATGTATCTTTAATGTATCGTATCGTTGGCTATGCATCGAGATGCGTATCGTATCGGCCTGAGTCATGAGATGCACATCCCTATAGGAAAGGCTTCCATGACAGCTGATCCGGGATCAGTGCAGACGCCAAAACACGCAGAGCGAGAGAGAACCAGAGAAAAGCATCCCCAAGCGCTCGAGCTGCGTAACTGCGCGGGAATTTATGAGCAGTGGTGTCATTCCCAGAAAGCATTCTGTGTGGATTTCATACCAGCAGGAATAAATCAGGGAGAAGCATCAGCCAATGGAAGGCCACCGTTATCTCTGGGTCTGTTTCAGTTCTTACTAAAGACACAATAAAACACACACACACACACACACACACACAGCATTGACGAGGACAGGAAGCTGAAAACACACGAGAACGTCAACACAACGATAACACTACAACATGTTTTTACTTCGACAGCTGGTCAGCTTGTTCTATATGAAGCGATAAGATTATATCATAATATTTTTTTCAGTTTTTTGGCAGTATTTGGTTTGATATAATTGCTGGAATGCATTAAAAGAGTGATTTTTTTGTTGTTGCCCAAAACAGTCAATGTTGCCAATTATATCATTTAAATCATTTTATCACAGCTTTTGATCAATGAATTTTCATGATTTATAAAAGAATAAGTATTTAAAAAAAATTGTTTAGATATTTTGACAATTTGGGAACCAAATTAATAAATAATAAATAATAATTTACTAAATTGATTAATTAATAAAAAATACATCAAAATTTTATAATTAATAAAATTAATTATGTAAAACATAAAATACATTAATAAATAAAATAAAACAATAAATAAATACAATTAATAAATAATACATGCTTATTAACCAAACTGATAAATTAATGAATAAACAAAAACACATTAAAAATAAATATGCTAATAAAATAAATTAATAAACAAATACAATTAATAAATAAATAAAATGAATTAATACATAAATTTAGGAACCGACGTAATAAATAATACATGATTATTAACTAACTATATTTAACCAAAATACATAATTAAAATAAATAAATAAATACAATAATTTAAAGGTCCCCTGAAGCGCCTTGAAACACGCAGCGTTATTCTATGTGGTGACGTAATTCAACTGAAACAGGAAAAGAGGGCGGGACATATCGAGCAGCCCCGCCCCCTTTTTAAATTATCCAATAGCGTTTTGTTTATATCTGCACGGGTCAGAGCCGCCGCATTTGACAGCCACAGTCTAATAGATTACCCCCTAGATTCAATATGAAACTCTTAGTAAAACAAAATAGTGATCATAATCATGCTGAGGCTGTGTAGTTTTAAGTGTTTAAAATATGCCGACTCGCGCATATGATCCGCTCCGAGCGTTCGCGTCTCTGGACCGGAGCCAAAGTCCGGATCAGACTGTGCGCTCTGCCGCGGTTCGCGTGACACAACGTGAAACCAGACC